TGAGGATAACTGCATTAGCTATAATAGGGCAGAGTTTTAGGACTACTAATTAAAATTAGTAATTCCAATTAAAAACTATTAAGTCATAAGAAAGACAGAAAATACAAGGGATGGGATGTAAGTCTACAATTTGTAACATTTCCTATTAAAATTTATAAAGGAAGACAGTAGATGTTATAAGGAAAGACTAAAAGATTGATTCACAGTTGGTTGCCAAACATCATATTTACTTGTCAAAAAGATAATGGAAGACCTGCAAATTTTCACTTTTCTGCACACATACAGTAGTCATTTTAGACATTACTATATACAAATGTATTGAATTACCTGTATTGACAACTACTATGGACAGAATGACTGAATGGATCAGATATATGTGACACTCAACATGCAGAATTCAGTCCGCCCGTCACTTACTATCATCATTCCATACCTATGTAAATCAGTATATATACCAGAAATTTCATACAAGTAGATTTAAAAACTAATGTATACAAGTGCACAAGCTAAGCTATATCTAGATGAGATTTAAGAATATTTGAATCAAACACAAATTCTTCCAAAGGAGACAAAACTTTCAAAAGGCAAACAACAATAAATTGAGAATTGGTTGCCTGACAACACAGGACAAACATTATGTCAGTTTATAGAACATAAGGAATGGTAAACAACTTCATATTCACATAAGGCTAAAAATTTGAAATGCACTGAAATAATTTCAACATGTGGTCATGTGTGGGGCATGGAAGTGTCACGTTAAAATACCTTTAATGAATGAACTTTAAACTTGTTTTTGTTAATTTTTACCCCTTCTACTATCTTTTCAATACAAATCCAACTAAATTTTTCTCAATATTAAATATGAAATCAAATGCTTCGCTGAGCGCAGCCTGATATGACCGCAGAGGTTGAACCCTGAACAGTTGGGGCAAATTTGGACACAATATTCATGCTTGATTCTGTCTGAAATTTGGACTGTGATCAAATTTTTGACATAATATAGGTTTCTGACACAAAATAAATGTGGTCAAAGATCTTAAAAATCTATTGCACAATACTGTGCAATTTAAGATTTCTTCTTGAAACTTTTCAAAAATTTTGAAAAAAAAATATGAACCCCTTAAAAAAAATTGGAAAAAAAAAACCTCAAACTTTTTCACTCCCCCCACCCCTGGGAGCAATTACCCCCAAACTTAATCCCAGTCTTCCCTTTTGTAGTGTGGAACCTTGTAGTATAATTTTAGAGAGATCCATACACTTAAACACAAGTTATTGTCTGGAAACTAGAAAAATGCTTGTTTTTGGCCCCTTTTTTGCCCCTTATTCTTGCATGTTTTGGCCTGGGCAATTACCCCAAAAATCAATCTCAGCCTTCCCTTTGTGATATGGAACCTTGTGAGATCCATAAACTTACACACAAGTTATTGTCCGGAAACTACAAAAATGCTTGTTTTTGGCCCATAATTCCTAAACTGTTGGTACCATAAACCCCCAAAATCAATCCCAACCTTGCTTTTGTGGTATTGAACCTCCTTGTAAAATTTCATAGAGATCCATTCACTAAAACTAAAGTTATTGTCTGGAAACCAAATGTGTCTTCGGACGACAACAATGATCTGCACATTTATTTAGAAAATAAATTCTATACATATATGGTCTTTCTTATATTTCATTTACAATTTGAAAGGAAACCATTTTACTATTACAATGTATAATAATAACTGAATTTGAACTTAGATCTATTGACCCAAACGTCAACAGGCGACTTCCCCCTTTACTGTATCAGCAACCTGTATAAGGTTCATTCCAACCAGGCAAGGGAAACTTGAGTAACAATGTTACAGACACATGGACAGACAATGTGCTGACTATATTCTCTTGACTATTTTTGGTATATGTTATAAAGGAGACAGGAGCCAAACAATGAGTGTCAGAAAGTGACTGACAAATTCAAGCACACAAACACTTGCTTTGCTAATTAACTTTCTGTTTACTGTGGCACTTCTCTTTTTATCTTCCAACTATATGAAATTAAAAGAAAATTATAGGGAAGTGCTTACAAAAACTTCACTACAGAAAATACCTTTTTTAGTGTGATGACCATCAAAATGGTGCTAATCAGAGTTAAAAACTTGTTTATAATTAATAACACAATTTTTCTAAGAATAGAAAATATTTGATTTTTCAACAGAAATGACCAAATATTTGAGAACGATGACATATTCTCAACGCCTTCCTCTAAACTACACATTTACAGGTTTTCCTCTATATAATACACACTACTTTTCATACTATACACATCATCTTTCTTGCATACTTTACAGTTTTTCCTCCATTTCGGATTTCAATGATCCCTACACTCTTCAAACCATACCATACAAAGCATTGTTCACTAAATTTTTCTTGCATGCATATGAAAAACATTTTTGAAAATATATCATTGAACTATTTAAAAGGTTCTTAGTCACAAATGTTAGTCGGAAGTAAACACAAAATGACTGATTGAGTCAGATATATATGTGACACTCCACATGCAGTCCGCCCGTCACAATACTATCATCATTCCAGATTTTTGCACTGTACTACAAATATTTTCATCTTGCCATACATATTAATTTTGATACAACAAAACCTTTCAAATCTTGTACATTCAAGATGCTGCTTAAGATTGCTGTACTATCAATAAACAGGGAAGATATTTAAGACTACCTGGTACTAGCTACAATAAAACTATTAAGGAAGACAGAAGATATCATATGAAAACATCAAATGATTGATTGATTTTTGGTGTTGAATGCATCTTTTATCACTATTAGGTATTTTTATCACAGATTTATTGGTGGAGGAAGCCAGAGCGCCTGGAGAGAACCACCCACCTTCAGCAGGAAAACTGACAATCCTAGTCAATTGAGATTGGAGTCAAATGTATCTGTAATGTGCAGGGTTAGAAATGCACAACCTGTATTGATAGGCTAGTGATACAGTAGTTGAACTACCTATACCACTTGGCCACAGAGGCCTAATGATCAATTAATAAAGGGTTTCCAAACCTAAGGGGGCAAAGACTTGTTTGTTTTAATGATAATTGAAAGTTAATATTTACACTTCAGTAAATACTGGCATATTTTTAACTTTTTCTGCACACATACTGTTCTTATTTCATAATATAAATGTATTGAATGATCTGTATTGACCAATAGTATCTAGACAGAAGTGAGAACGACTGATTAGGTCAGATATATGTGACACTCAACATCCAAAATTCAGTCCGCCCGTCACAATACTATCATCATTCCATAGTTATTATACCAAATACCAAACAGAATTTAAAACATGAATTTCTTTTACGGTAAATTAGCATCACTCCCAAAACAGCTGAATAAACTAAATTTAGTTACTGCTTTATAAGAAATATGTGATCCCAGTGATTATACAAATATACCAAATGTCAGGGCAATATCTACAAAGAAGGCATTAATTGACAAAAAACCTATAATTTTCTACTAGGTAGGGAAAAACTTTGTTTTATAATGGCTTTACAGCACAACAACATTAAGTTTATTCTGACATTTTGTGGAACTTTCTTCACCAAGAACATGTATACCCCTCCCAACCCTAAAAGAAAAACACCCACAAAGTAGATGACCCTAGAATTATTTTATATTCATTGACTTTATCAAAACTGAAATTTATCTGGATTTGACATATCGATTTGATACAAAAATCTATGGAGATGGGTGTTGCAAGTATAATAGTTAAATGGATTATTTTTTTCAATTTTCAGGTAGTGTTCAATGTGACATGTTGTATGCACAATTTTACAAAAATCTGTGACAAAGCCCGTTTACTGTTTCTTGAACTTAAATGAAGAAAGAGTGACAGATAAGGTCAGATATATGTGACACTCCACATGATATTTCAGTCCGCCCGTCACAATACTATCATCATTCCACATTTGATGCAACTATTTACACTGTACCTACAATATTAAATAAGTGACCAGCAAGATGGCCAGTGATATTTGCAATAGAGAAAGGATAAAATACTTAGTCTTGTCCAACAAAGACTAATAATTGCAACAGAATGAGATTATGGCGAAATTGATTCTATTAAGACGGTTTAGCTGTTCTATAGTCCACATTCAAATTACATACTCAGGAGTCAAAAAGTGGATAATATAGGAATTGTCTATCAAGACCCTTCTTGGTTTTTAACTTTTATTTTTTTTGTTTTCCAAACTTTATCTCATCAGCATACATGTATGTGATGAAAGTTATTCCAGAATTCAGTTTTGTGTGCACAAAAATCATATTATTTGGTTTATATTAGTTAAGGCTTAAAAATTAGTTCAGCCAAACCCAACTAATATGAAGTTAATTTTGGCTTTCAAGGCTGCCACAATATTGTGAATAATTCAGTCATAACAATGTAAACAGTCATTGCTGTAACTTAAAGGATTAATACATAAAAAAAGTAGCCATGCAAATTGTTCATCATGAAAATACACCTAGTTTTAGGTGTTTTTTGCAATGTTGTCAAAAAGTGACTGACAAAGTCAAGCACAAAAACTTGATTTGCTAATTAACTTCCTGTTTACTGTAGCACTCACCTTTGACCTTTCAACTATGTAAGGTTAAAAGAACAATACAGGAAAGTGCACTTTTAACATACAACATTACAGTTGACTATAAAGTATAAATCTTAACCTTGGATGTGTTGGTCCAGTCTCATATCATATCTTACTCTTGGACACCTTGAATAGCCTTATGGAGAAGTTCAATCTCATGTCTCATATAAGGCTCATGGAAACAACCTTGTGAAAATTTAATTTTATTACCTTGAATTATCATTTATTGTTTTATCTTATCAGCTTTGAAAGAGCTGGTGAATGTTCTCTGTCCAGAACTTTTGAGTCAATTATTGTTGAGAGAAAACTGTTTTTTCAATTTTCTAGTAGATATCTGCCTTTCAAACACATAATTTAAACACATATGACCTACTTTCAGCATTAGCAAATCGTATTGCCAATGTTTCTGGCTTGGCTTCCTCATCTGCATAATCAGCCGCCACACTCCATAACCAGGCACGATCACTGCCACAGTTTGGCTTTAATTCCATCTGTGCTGTAACTACAAAAAAGATTAGAGAGTAAAAAATATTCCAGAATGTTAACAAGAAGTTAGCACTATATATATCCACGCTAAATGTTGTTGACTCTATTTTGTGGTAAATATGTTAATCAAATTATGCATAAGCAAAAGTGAGAAAGCCGGTTTAAAAGACAAACAAGAAGATGTTTGATAGAAACTCTTTATACATCAAGAAGGTTAGAATTTCAGTTGAGGACAAACATTTCATCTTTGTTCATGAAGTTTTAAAGATATAAGTTTTCATCAAAAAGGAAGTGCTAAAAAAATATGTTTCCTGTGTCCATGATTCTGTTCTCATTAAAGATCAACTTTTGATGAGAAATCATTTCTGAGATTTTTACCTTAATCACGGAATAGCAATAAAAAACTCCTTGCTTAGAATTTCCCCAAATTTCAGTATTTAACCCCTCTTTTCAAAATTATTGAAGATTAAAGGAAAAATAGCGAACTAATCAGTCTGCACTAATGCTAATGCTTTTCTGGAACACAAAAAAATGGAAATCTCAAACTTATGATTAACTATATGTTCTTTGTTGGAATATGGAAGATTAAAAGAACAGACAAAGGAGTCTCTAAAATTATTTTGGTGGGAAACATTCACATTTTAAACTGTCAGATAAAATGAATTCATTAATGGAATACAAATATGAATCAAACCTACTGAAATGATTGGCACAAACTTTTAGTGTCTTATCTCGTCTCATAAGAACACGTATCAAACCAGTTTCTTTATGCTTTAACAGCTTACAATCTCCAGTTCCACGTTCTTTCCATTCTGGCGGGTCAAAAGAATTGTCAAATCGAAATAGTTTTGCACGTCTGAAAAAATAGAATTATTTATCTACTTATACTCTCTACTATATAAACCAGACGAAATAAACAATATAAAAATAATGAAGATGTGATATGATTGCCAATGAGACATCTCTCCACCAGATTCAAATGAAGTGAAAGTTAACAATTATCATGATTATAGGTCATCTTACACCTTCAACTATGAGCAAAATGCAAACCACATAGCAAGCTATTGTCATTATTAGCAAGTTCATTATTCTACAATTTATTCAATATATCAATGTGAATTAACATTTTTTTATTAAAGGAAAATATCAAACGATGTACACTCCTGTGGAAATATTGCTGAGGGGGAAATGTCAAAAATATTTCATTCAATTATCCAGCATGAATATGCACTTGTGTACTTGATCTTCCAAACAAATCCTCCTTGCCATCCCCAATTTTATGTAAAAATGTCTGTAATAAATTAATAAATTGCTTCGCTGAGTGCAGCTGGATACGACCGCAGATGTCCAACCCTGAAAAGTTGGACCAAAATGGACACAATATTCACGCTTGATACAGATCTGAATTTGGATTGTAACTAAATTTTTGACACATAATAGGTTTCTGACACAGAATAACTGTAGTCAAAGAACTTCAAATTGGTTATATGATTTGAATTTATATTCAATTTATTGCTTTTGTGCAATACACTATGCTGTTGCGAATTGACCCACCCCCCCCCCCCCCACCAAAAATTTTTTATTTTACCCCGGTTTTTGTCTTTTGTGCAATACACTATGCTGTTGAATATTAACCCCCCAAAAAAAATATTTGAAGAAATTTTCTTTTAATTTCTGAAATCTGAAATGAGAAAAATTGTTTCCCCCCCCCTCCAATTTTTTTCACCTCCCCCCTTTCCCTTATTCCCCAAAAAAATTCTTTCCCTCAAGATATGGTCAGTATCTCAATTCAAATTTCTAATGCAGTTTGCAACCAAAATTACCCATTTAAATACATCATAAAAGTTTTAAAATATAAAATGACATACATAGTCATGGCTAAAATTAATATTAATTAATAGTAACTGCTAAAAATAAATTGACAACTAATCACCTCAAGACAATCATCATTCCTTAATACATAATTTACAAGCAGTGTAAGGGAGGTAATCAAACAGTGTTCTTTAATTTGAATTGGATTACCTCCCTTACACTGCTTTTAAATTGTCTCAATTGTCCTTTAACCAGAAAAACCCTTGTTTTTCCCCTTTTTTTGCCCCTAATTACTAAATGGTTTGAGCCATAACCCCCCAAAGTCAATCCTAACCATCCCTTTGTTGTATGGAAGTTTGTGGTATAATTTCAGAGAGATTCATACACAAGTTATTGTCTGGAAACTACAAAAATGCTTATTTGGGCCCCTTCCCTTTTTTGCCCCTAATTCCTAAACAGTTGGGACCATAACCCCCAAAATCAATCCCAACCTTCCTTTAGTGGTTATAAACCTTGTATTAAAATTTAATTGATTTCTATTTACTTATACTAAAGTTATCATCCGGAAACCATCTGTCTTCGGAGGACGCTGACGACGCCGCCGCTGGACGACGACAACGTGATACCAATATATGACCAAAAATTTTTTAATTTTTGCGGTCGTATAAAAATTGGTACAGTATTCTCCTTTCTACATTACATTTTATATCATTAAACTTGGGTCAACTTTGAAAATTGTAATCATACGAACTGTGTAGCATGAACAAAATAAAATGAAAAAATAAATTGAAATCCAAATGACGACTGACCTCATTTCTTTTTTCAGGGTTAACAATTATGGTTGAGTTGTATTCTTTAACACACATGTTTTAACGGCCTTATGTATATAGGAAATTGGGGGTAAGCCTATTGACAACAGACTGACAAAGTGAGCTATAAATATGCAATATTTTACTAACAACTTTAATACTTCTTCTTCCTCTTCTTCCAATGATTTAACCTCTATTTCTGGTAACTTTATCACAGGTTCAAAATGGATTTCTGGAGATTCATCAACTGAGTCATCATGCTGTAATATACATTTTTTGTACAAGAGAAAAAATATATTATGTCTAAACATTCATCACCCCCCTTTTTTTGCCCGTAGGAAACAGTTGGACTATAGATGTATTATCACTAGTATGCATATTAGTCCGCCATAATGTCAAACAAGTTCCTGTGAAATTATGCGTCACAATTTAAAACATTTGATGTCATAATTGAAAAGTGATTGTTGCAGAACAAAATCAAGGGTTATTCAGTGCAAATTCAGTTAAATACCTATCTATTGGACAGAACCAAACATGAAAAAGGGGAACCTAATGAAATTTTGGCAGGCAGGACCAATACACCTTATCGCTATTTGTCCGCCATTACTGGACATCACACAGGTTCCCGTAAAATTTTGACGTCATAATACAAAATATCTGACGCCACAATGGAAAAGTGATTGTTGTATGACATCAATAGTTCAAGCGGGATAGATTCTCGGGTCAGCCGGGAATAGCGATAAGGTGTATACGGCAATGGGTAAATTGGTTTTCGCAAATTGTGCAACAGTGAAACTGCTTTGGCAATTTTGGAAGGAAATAAGACTAAAGTAACATATGTATCGTCCCCATTCTAGTCTGTTAATGCTTGCTGAAATTCTATTTGGTGTGTGCTCTGCAAATTCCAACCCTCCCCCTTTTCCCACAAGTTTTACATATATTTTCGAAATCCGTTTTCTCTTCCCCAAAAATAATTGAGGATTTTGATAGACCTAATGAAGGGAAATTTAAAAAGGGATCTTTATTACCTTATCATCTGCCATGTTTAGAGGATGGGGATCGATTTATTTCACGTTTTCTGGAGGCTGAATGGCGCTTTCAAAGGCCTTTTGGTTCGCTCTGAAAATGTTGAAGAAATAACTTTATATACTACAAATAATGTGAAAATGTAGTTCAAGCTTTGTTGAAATAAGACAACCACTATTATATTGTCTGATTTTTGTCCCTTCCTTTGTCGTTGTCGTTTTGAAAAGTCATCCCCATCTTTTTTCTAGGTACAAGATTTGTCTACCCTGAAACACACATAAATAACGACTCGGATGCGGTAATGGGGTAAACTATCCGCAACAACGCTGAAGGAAAAAACTCGTCAAAATTGACGCGGGGAGTTAAACTTGGAACTGAATTGTAAAAATTAATCTCAGAAAATTGGAAAACGGAATCAATGATGACCGGCGAAAAAGAGTTGTTTCGCTGACAGATTCAACATATAAATGATCAATTCCAACCGCATTAAAGAACTTATGATATCATATAATTTCTATATGCCGTACTTTCTGAATTAGGTTTATTCCCACTTTCATTGTCAGCCCTTAAAAATACAATTAATTTCTGGCTTCATATCATTAATATGAATAGTGAGAGTATGGTAAAGAAAGCATATAGTGAAAACTTTAACATGTCTAATGGTTTTTGTAGTAAAATAAAAGTGTTATTAGGTAAACTTGGTTTTCAGAATGTTTGGGAAAATCAAAATACTATGTCAAAGACAAAATTACTTTTTTTCATTTCAAAAGAAATTAGAGGAGGAATTCATAAAATCCTGGAAACAAGGTCTTTTTTGTGACTCTAATAAAGATAGTCATGGTAATAAACTAAGAACGTATCGCAAAGTTAAAAAAATAATTTCGAATTAGAAAAATATCTCCTAGTACTGGACCTTAACAAAAGTGTTATTTCTAAAATGGTAAACATTAAAGAAGTTGGTAAATATACTAGAACGCCTTTCGACTGACTCAGAATTTGTCCACTTTGCAAGGATGGAATTGAAGATGAATTCCATTTCCTCATTAAATGTAAAGCGTTAGAATTTAATAGAAATATACTCTTTTGTATTTTAAGTGATATAGTTCCATCTTTTGTTAATATGTCTGAACAAGATAAATTTAGTTTCATTTTGAAAAGTAATGATACTGACATTTGTACTGTATGTGTAGCGGCGCGGGAATAAGCGATATGTATGATTCGAACATTCATTTAAAGGAAACATAATGTTGATCAGCCTTGAACTGTTGTAGTATTAAAGCTTATTGTAATAGCTTGAATTAATAATATAGTATGAATAACACCTCCACGCAATGTAGATATAAAATATGTGTCTCTTATCATCGAGAAAATATGTCTCCGTATATTTTTTTTTTTATTTTTGTCTAGTTTGTATTTGTATTTTGTAAATGTCAGCTGGTATCATTCCTGTATTGGAATTTACACCAATAAAATTATTTGATTCGATTTGATATGATTATAAAAAAAACAATATGTTTACATATTTGTACCGGGTCAAAATGTTCAGCGCTACACTATTGCAGTTGATGTCATTTTAATACAAAATTGTATTTTGTAAAATTTTACATCAAATGACATCTATAACCGAAATGATTTAATCTGTACCAGAAAGAAAATATATTTTCAACATAATTTAGGCCGTTTGGATTAGGATTCGCAGTGGCGGATCCAGAACTTTTCATAAAGGGGGGGGGGGGGGGGGGGGAGGCGCTGACTGACCTAAGCCGGGGGCCCGCTCCAGTCATGCTTCAGTGATTCTCTGTATAACCAACCAAATTTTTCCCACATAAGGGGGGCCCGGGCCCCCTAGGAACCCCTGGATCCGCCGATGATTCCCATCTTTAAATTTTGTGGATAAATCTATCGAAAATGCGGTTTTTGGGCTATTTGCAGACGTAAGCATGAATTGGTGATCTGAATAAATTGAATATGCTATGGTATTGTTAAAACCTCAACATGCTCAAGGTACATACTTTTACTAAAATTGGAAGCATATGGTCTGTCAAAAAATTCTCTAAAATTATTACCAAAATAACAGAAAACAACGTATTAAAATTGGAACTTCCTACAGTGAATGGGATCGGATGTTTTAAGGTGTACCACGTGCAAAAGGGTCAATTCTTGGTCCAGTTCTTTTCAGTGTCTTCATAAATGACACGTTTCATTTTGTACAAAATAGCACTTTTTATAATTATGCTGATGATAACATTGTATCATATAGTGATTATGATATAGATAAGGTTGTTAAAATTTTATAAACTGATAGTTTAAATCTAATAAACTGGTTTTCGATAAATTTAATGAAGGCTAATCCTGAAAAATTCCAGGCTATAGCCATTGGAAAAAAAACAAATAAACATAATTTGACATTCCACTTAAACGGAAACAAAATGTCTTGCGAAGAAAATGTTAAACTTCTTGAAATAACTATAGATTCGGATTTAAACTTTAACAATCATTTATCTGAAAAATGTAAAAAGGCATCAACTCAATTGAATAGTCTTAACAGAATGGGTAAATATCTAAACAGGCTAGGCAGGTTAACAGCATACTATTCATTCTTTCTTTCGAATTTTAGCTATTGTCCAGTAATTTGGCACTACTGTAGCGAAAAAAATCTTAAAAAATGGAAAAAATTCAAGAAAGAGCTCTTAGATTCGTCTATAAAGATTATGATAGATCATACGAAAAACTGCTATAAAGTCAAAATTGTCTTCTTTAAAAATAAGAAGAATAAAAACTATTGCAACAGAAACATTTAAGATAATTCATTAAAAAAAGTCCAAGTTACATTTTTTTATATGTATCTTCATGATTTAATTAATATTAAAATTCAGAAGTATAATTTTAGATCACAGGAAACAGTAGTACTCCCGAGAGTCAGAACTACCAGGTATGGTTTGAGATCGTTTCGCTATAATGCTGCACAAATCTGGGAAACATCTTTTTACAAAAAATGGGATCCAAATAACAGCTCATGCCAGTGCAGTGCATGTATATCGTGCGTTTAATTTTGTTTGGCTGTTTGATTTGTTTAGCTTTTTTAGTTGCTATTATCTGCAATGATTAATATTCTAACACATGCTATGTTTTAAGATATACTTTATTTTGCATTTTGCATACCAGGCTGAAGCTAGCGAACAATAACTAGCGAACAATAAGCCAGCGAACAATAAGGCGATATATCTAAAAACCGAAAAAATGAACAAGACAGCAACGGTCGTTAAATGAAAAATATTTAAACAGGCAAAAATTCCGTCCAAATATTGCAATTTCAACTCAAACATGAAATGGTATTTATCCCATCCATTGATAAAACAAGTCACATCTCTTTTTAGGCTAATATTCAGTACCACAGTAAATGCAACTGTCAACGGATTATTTGTAGGTGTAAAACCACCAATGCACCCACTTCCATTTAGAACGTATGTAAAAGTAGTCCTTCCCTGTAAAATACAGCACCTTTGATGTCATTGTTTAATTGAACAAAGATACACATTTGCAGAAATGGGGGTTGGCCTATTCCATGGCTTCTTGAGAAAAATAATGAGGGGTGTCACGGGGTATGACTATAAAGGTCTTGTAATGGAGAAACAGGCGCATCTTTTGCGCAAGGTATCGAAGGGCGCTATGTTCAAAAATCTGAAACTAGAGCTCAAAATTTGAAAAAAAAATTGTTAAAAACAGGGGGGTTGGCCTATTCCATGGTTTCTAGAGAAAAATAATGAGGGGTGTCACGGGGTATGACTATATAGGTCTTGTAGAGGAGAAACAGGCACATCTTTTGAGCAAGGTATCGAAGGGCGCTATGTTCAAAAATCTGAAACTAGAGCTCAAAATTTGAAAAAAAAATTGTTAAAAACAGGGGGTTGGCCTATTCAATGGCTTCTAGGGAAAAATAATGAGGGGTGTCACGGGGTATGACTATATTAGTCTTGTAGAAGAGAAACAGGCGTATCTTTTGCGCAAGGTATCGAAGGGCGCTATGTTCAAAAATCTGAAACTTGAGCTCAAAATTTGAAAAAAAATGTTAAAAACAGGGGGGTTGGCCTATTCCATGGCTTCTACAGAAAAATAATAAAGGGTGTCACGGGGTATGACAATATAGGTCTTGCAGAAGAGAAACAGGCGCATCTCTTGCGCAAGGTTTCGAAGGGCGCTACGTTCAAAAATCTGAAACTAGAGCTCAAAATTTGAAAAAAATTGTTAAAAACAGGGGGGTTGGCCTATTCCATGGCTTCTAGAGAAAAATAATGAGGGGTGTCACGGGGTATGACTATATAGGTCTTGTAACGGAGAAACAGGCGCATCTTTTGCGCAAGGTATCGAAGGGCGCTATGTTCAAAAACCTGAAACTAGAGCTCAAAATTTGAAAAAAAAGTGTTAAAAACAGGGGGGTTGGCCTATTCCATGGCTTCTAGAGAAAAATAATGAGGGGTGTCACGGGGTATGACTATAAAGGTCTTGTAATGGAGAAACAGGCGCATCTTTTGCGCAAGGTATCGAAGGGCGCTATGTTCAAAAATCTGAAACTAGAGCTCAAAATTTGAAAAAAATTGTTAAAAACAGGGGGTTGGCCTATTCCATGGCTTCTAATGAAAAATAATGAGGGGTGTCACGGGGTATGACTATATAGGTCTTGTAGAAGAGAAACAGGCGCATCTTTTGCGCAAGGTATCGAAGGGCGCTATGTTCAAAAATCTGAAACTAGAGGTCAAAATTTGAAAAAAATGTTAAAAACAGGTGGGTTGGCCTATTCCATGGCTTCTACAGAAAAATAATGAAGGGTGTCACGGGGTATGACTATATAGGTCTAGTAGAAGAGAAACAGGCGCATCTCTTGCGCAAGGTTTCGAAGGGCGCCATGTTCAAAAATCTGAAACTAGAGCTCAAAATTTGAAAAAAATTGTTAAAAACAGGGGGGTTGGCCTATTCCATGGCTTCTACAGAAAAAAAATGAGGGGTGTCATGGGGTATGACTATATAGGTCTTGTAGAGGAGGAACAGGCGCATCTTTTGCGCAAGGTATTGAAGGACGCTATGTTCAAAAATCTGAAACTAGAGCTCAAATTTGAAAGAAAATTGTTAAAAACAGGGGGGTTGGCCTATTCCATGTCTTCTAGAGAAAAATAATGTGGGTGTCATGGGGTATGACTATATAGGTCTTGTAGAAGAGAAACAGGCGCATCTTTTGCGCAAGGTATCGAAGGGCGCTTTGTTAAAAAAATTGAAACTAGAGC